GCTCAAATTTGGTCAGGAAACGGCTGCCTAGAACCAGATACTGGTCGTGGAAACCAATGTATACTGGCTTTCAAAGACGATGCCTGCTGTATTGCTATCGGAGATAGTTTTTCTTTTCCCGAGAAGCCTCTTGTCATAGATGTATTAATTAAATACTTTGATTTGCTGTGGTTTCGTGGTAATTTCTAAGAAGCAAAATTTGAGATTATAGCCACCAGAAATACCATTATTGCCCGGACAATCGATCTGAGGATCTTGCGCTGCTGTTGATCAGACATCAGGCGCAACTATGCCAGGCTTCTGATCTTTAGTTCCATACCTCAAGTCACCGCTTGAGCAGCGCAAAAAAGTATTACCAGTGCTCGCAGAAACCTCTGAAATTCTACTTCATTTTTATGCGTTTTGTGCTGTGTAACAGCAGTACAAAACGCATATTTTCACGGGGTTGTCTGTCTGTGTGTTTGTTTATGTGTGTGTGTGTGTCCGCAGCAACTTGTCCGCAACTTTCAGCTCGGGAACCACAGAAGCTAGGAAAATGAAAATTTAGGGGAACGTACCCATCTACGTGCGACCACGCAAATTTAAATTCAGCTTCCCCGTACCCGCGGGTAACACGTACGGCCCTGTGAAAGTTTTTACGGGTAAATTATTATCTCGGGAACCACGGAGTCCAGGGAGCTGAAATTTTAGAGTAATGGCCCCCCGCTTAACCTTGCCCATTCAAGTTCACTTTTGAGTATCACCTACAGCTTCGTGAAAATTTTGGCGGGAAACTATTAACTCGGGAATCACAGAGAGATATTCATCCTTCAAGGTTTCGAATTCAACTTTCATGCGCTGGAGCGTGAAATTTTTAACTATTTTCCAATGTTTGAACTATTTTTGCATAGACTAAAGTACAAAACAGTAAAAATCATTAAAAGGCAATCGTTCGATGGGCTGAATTGCACAAAACGCATGTCGCACCGGCTAGTCTGGTGCGCGCTGCTATTTATTGTATTTTCTCCGGACTTTTTTGATATATCATAAATTTGTTTTATTGAGACGTCAGTGCCCTTAATGAAAGAAGCAGTAAAATTATTCTCATATTTTAATGCTGCGTTGGGTCATTTCATTCTCATTTCTGCCGATTATTCATTATACTCTGGGAAAACTTCGAATTGATCCGATTTTTTTTTGTTTTGAAATTTTTATTTTACACTGATTTTGCAGAGCGTTAACGGAACGAGTGGTGGAAGTACTTCCGCAACTGAAATGTCCCCATTCAATCGAGCCACACCAAATCCAGGGCCTCGACTGCATTCACATTTTCCCGGTTGTTCAGGTTTGTACTACTGCTGCATTGTAGAACAAGTCAGCAATCGATAGGAGAACGGAAACTATGTCAGAAGAGGGGGTTTTTTTTTTAATTTTCACTAAATTTAAATTTATTGGAGAGAATAAATCCTCAGAAAACTTAAAACCTTGCCGGCTCCCTCTTAACTATTCTTTATTTTAGTGGCAACTTTAGTTTTTTTACTCGCGTACTACCTTGTGTAGTTTGCTTCTGTTGCATAGCTGTATAATTTTTATTGCCCACCAATCAGGTGATCCATTAATTCGTACCACCTAAGCCTAGCTGGAAAAAATTGCTTCTCTTCTGTGTATGTTTGAAGGCGCCAAGGTTTGTCCTTTCGTTGTTCGACTATTCCGCAACCACACTGAGGCGTCTGGGTCGGAATTTGCGCTTTCAGTAGTACTGGCTTAGTTCTTTTAATGAATATTCAGTGGCTTGTTCGCGAAGCGGTTCGTGCCATGGAGAGATATGGTGACAATGTACGCCAGCATGCTGTTTATCAGTTTGCTCAGCGATTTCGTTTTTCAAAGGTTTTCGCTTAATTCGTTCATCATATATGAGATACGCTTAAGCAGCATCAAATGAACATTGGAAGAGGAAGCTCAGTAAAATTGATTGGTGCTGTACTTTGAAGTTTATTATCAATTGATCTGCTGATTTTTCTCGACAGTGAATTTTCCACGTGTAAGAGCAATGGCTTCGCTAACAGGGGTCCCCCTCACGGTTCATTCCTGTGGTTCTGATATTCTTGTCGTATATGCTGCAGTTAAGTATTTATTGTTCTTTTTTGAAACAAGTGTTTGTTTTTGAATAAGTTTACGGGATCTCCTTTTGGCTAGCCTCCTGATGATCCTGAAGTTTGTTTCTTCTCCTGAAGGGGTTATCAGCTCATTTCTTCTCCTAACAAAGTTTAGGCTGATCCCAGATATCATTTGCTTCATCAGCTTACCCCGAGTGCTGCCACGCCAAATCACAGTTACTGTACCAGTTATGGGAACACTCAGCATACTTTTGATTCCGATGGTTTTCCTTTCTTAAAATTCATTTAGCTCTTTCAGGATAATGAAGTGGAAAGGCGGAAGAATATTTTTTTGAGTAACTGCCGCAATATGAGATCCAGATGTTCGCCGCAACGCATCTACAAATTAGCAAACGATTTCAAAACATCAAACTTACAAACGGATGTTCGATGCACTCTGCTCGAATACGGATGGTTCGTTTCAGTCCAGATTTGCATGCTTCGCCAAATTTCAAGTTGCCCAGTATATTGAGTAAATATAATTTCTTATAAATTGGTTACATTGC